AAAAAAAAAAAAAAAAAGGACAAAATCTCAGACAGGAAGCCAAGCTGTGCACACATGGCCAGTAGCCATCACTTAAATGTAGGGTATGATCTCAGGAATCTGCCAGGATTGGCAGATAGGAAATTCTCTGGGCCAATGCCCTGTCTCTATACACAGCTGGGCCAGACCCTCACCGATGACCCCGAAGATGCCCAGGATGTTGGGAGCGAAGATAACCAGCAGGTTGATGCAAGTGAGCAGGCCAATGGCAATGAGCGTGTGCCGCAACCAGTTGAACTCCTGGTTCTTAAACAGCATCTGCTGGATGGCACGGCGCACCTGGGGGGCGGGGGTGGGAAGAGTCACCCATCTGTCAGCTCCCTCCATCCCACCCTGCCTTGGTCCACCTACCCACCGGCTCACCGGAAACAGAACGATTGGCACCGTGAGTGTGACTGCCGTCAGCACGGCCACACGCACACAGAGGATCAGCACGTCGAATGGGTCCACCTTGCTGTAGGTGTGCAGTAGCTCTGACTCCACCCCGTCTGCGGCAGGCAGGGAGGGCGGTCAGCACGTGGCCCGGGGAGGGGGGTGGGCTCTGAGCCTGGGTTGACCCTGACACTGTGCGAAGTGGCAACAGACTCACCTCCACAGCCGCAGGGCACAGTTAGGCGTCGCACACCTACTTAGCGCCTACAGTATGCAGGGTGCCATGGCCACTGGCCAGCCCCGTGCCCCCCAGCCTGGCCTCTGCCTCTGCCCCCATGGTCCAGCCATACCGTAGAAGGTGAGGTAGCCGAAGAGGGCAGCCAGGAAGTACATGACATACATGACGGAGATGGACAGGTTGGAGATGTGCTGCATCTTCCTCTTGGAGGGACTACGGCGAAGCAGGGGAGGGGACTGGTGCCAAGCTGGGCCACACCAGAGACCCCCCTGTGCCCTGGGGTTTCTCCGGCACCACACCCTCACCATCTGGCAGCTGAAGAAGTCTCCTTCTTGTCCCCAGTCGCCCCTCAGGGCAGCCACGGAGAGCTTTGATAAAGTGACTTGGCTCCCGTTCCTCCCCACTCCCACCCCCGGTCCCGTCAGGACCACATTCATTCTCCCCAAACCAGCTTAAGGCGGCTGCCCCCCTCTCAACCACAGACACCTACTCCTTGAGCTCTGTATAGATGGGCAGCACCTCGGGATGGCAGACGAAGGCGAAGGCCATGATGGGGATGGTGTATGCCGTCTGGGGAGACACGGGGACCACGTCAGGGCAGCCCCCCCCCCACTCTCACGGGGCCCACCGCCCCCACCCTGGCCTGTTGGGACCTGTGAGTTGAGTGTGAAGTAGCTCGGGGTGCAGAGGGCTGTGGTCTCTGTCTCAACCCGCAGCTGTGCCTCCTCCTTGGTGACCTCCACGAGGCTGAAGTTGCCCGTGATGTTGGCGAAGTTGACGGGCAGTGGGCAGGGCACGTGGAACTTTTTGTAGATGACCTGGGTTGGGGAAAGGATGAGATCAGGGCCAGGCTAGATCTGCCCAGGAGTCACTATGACGCCACACCTAGATCAGGACGGAAGGGGCTGCCTTCTGACCCAGGCTTCCCAGAAAGGCCTGACCCCTCCCCCTGACAGAGGAGCCTGCCCCCCACCCCCTCCCCGGGAGACCTGCCCTCCACTCCAGCACGGAGGGTAACTCACAGCGATTAGGAAGAACACCATGCAGCTGAGAGAGAAGCCGCTGGAGTAACCCAGGTAGCCTGCAAAGTGCGGAGGGGCTCTGAGACGGGGGTCCCCTCCCAGGCATCCCTCCAACATCCCCCCCCCAAGGCCCTGGCCTTGCCACACTCACCAAGCTGCCGCATCAGTGCCAGAGGCAGAATGACGGTGACAGAAACTAGGATCACCAGGTAGTTCCCGTTCATGTACCAGTCCCTGCAGGGACAGGAGTGGGGAGCCAACATCAGTCTCCTCAGCCTTAGGGTGGGGGGGCGTCTGCCTCCATACCTAATCGGTGCACCCGGGGTGCTACTGAGTGACCTCTGGAAAATACTTGTTCAGAGCACTGTGTCTCCCCTTCCCCATCTGCAAAATGGACGTTCTCTCAGCACTCTCCTGGGCAAGGTGCGGACTAAGGCGCCGGGCTCCTGCTTGGTGACCATTATAGGTATAGTCACTGCTCTTGTTTTTCCTCAGGACACACAGGTCTGGGTCCAGCTTCCCCAGGGAGGGGCCCCCAGGGGCCCAGGGAGGCAGGGGGATGAACAAACCTGGCTCTGGGGGGTGGGACATTTTCTATGGGGGGATCAGGGACTTGCCAACGTCTGGTGCCCCTTGTGGTCCCTCCTGACATCTGTATCCTGCATCATCCTGCACCCCGCCACCACCAAGGGACAGGGGGCCCGGAGAACTAAAGGGATAAGGAATGAGACCCCCCTTCCCAGGGAAGCCTAAAGGTCAACTCCTTGGGAAAGGCCCCCAGGACCTGGTGGGGGGTCGGGGAAAGAATCCTGATGCTTCTCTCCTCCCAGAGCTGCTCTCAACTTCACACCCCTCTGCTTGCCTGGGCTGTGTGGCCAAGGGCAGGGCCTGGCTGTCATCTCTGTCTCCACCCACAAAACATGGCTGATGCCATTAGTGCTGGCTAAACTGATGATGGGCAACTGGGACACCATGGGCTTAATTTCTTGGTTGGGGGTGGCTAACACCCAAGCCATGGTCAGGAATAGCAGGGGCTTAGAGCTAAGCCCAAGGCTCTCAGGCCCTCGCGTGCTCACAGGCTGGGTCCAGGCCCAGGTGGGGGCCCAGCTTCCTCGGCCTCACCGCACCCCTTACCCCCACTGGCCTTCCTGGGGGATTCCCCTAGGTGCTCCCTAAATGAGTGTCGACTGAATGTTAGCTCGGCTGGCAGCTCTCTGCCCCTCCAGCTGCCGCTTGCAAGCACTGTCTCGTCTCTCCCACTAGCCCAGCCTGGGTTCCCGGGGCCAGCAGGGCACACGGAGCGGGTAGACGAAGACCTCCCACCCTCACCCAGCCCCGCCCCACCCTGGGGCTCACGAGGTTTGCTCCTCCAGGTTCAGGAAGGTCTGTATGACAAGGGGCAGCTCAGACTTGATGATGTACAGGTAGCTGGACATGGCTGGGGGGAGACGGGTAGGCAGGCACTGGGGTCAGCCAAGGCAGCCAGCCCTCGGACTGCCCACCAGCCCACCGCCTGCCCGTGTCTGCCTGCCTCACCTCCAATATTCTGCAGCGTGATGGCCAGGGCCGCTGCCAGCTTCCCTGGGGTCCCAAAGGCACGGTAGCCCAGCTGCTCGTAGGCACGGATGCCTGTGGGCACGAGGAGTCAGAGCAGTCAGGGGTGCTCTCCCCGGTCCAGCCCTCCCTTGCTCCAGGTTGGGTTGAAGGCTCACCCACGATCCCTGAGGACTTGAGTAGCAGGTGGATGGAGTAGCTGGAGAGCAGGGCAACGGCCGTCAGCAGGAACCTGAGGAAGATGGATGAAAGGAAGCCACCTGGGACTTCCCTGGGTGGCAGGGGCGAGGAGCTCTGGGAGGCCTGGGTGTGTGGGTCTGTGACCCAGGTGTCTGGACCCCCAACAGGTGTGGATGCAAGTTCAACAGGCCCTAGCAGTGGTGAACACCACCCATTTGACCCAGGGTGAGCCGCAACCCAGAAGGGGCCTCTGAGTACCACCTCCTTGCGTTCTTGGAACAAACACGTTTTCCATTTGGGCAGCAGGGCAGAGTTCCCAGGTAAAGTACACGTGTGCCCGCACAAGGCCTGGCCGCGGGGGCTCGCTCATCACGTGTAAAGGTGGTAGAAGGAGAGACTCGGGTCTGTTAGGCTTGTCCTGTGTTGTAATCTCACCGGCTTTGCTGGGAAATGAGGGCTGTTTGTCCAGCCATGGCGGGTTTTTTTAGCTGTGGTTTGGGTTAAGCCCCCCCACTGCAGCCTGGGTCTTGGGATGGGAAACCGGCGGGTCCTGGGAGGTCATGGCTGGTGGCCTGTTTAGGGCTCCTGTCTCGGGAGGGTTCACTGAGAGGACTTACAGGAAAAGGATGATGCCCGTGTTGGCCATGGCGTAGGCGAGACCCAGGATGCCGCTGCCCATGATGGCGTTGCTGAGGTTGAACACTGACATCCCAAATGAGGTCTTCCCCTCGAACTGCAGGCACCAGAGTGAGCTGGGAGTTGGGGGCGGTCAGCAAAGCATGGAGGGCCTCCCAGCGTTCCCCCTCACTGCCCCTTAGCCTCCCATTGCTGCCCCAGAGCACTTCATTACTGCACACAAGCTCCCAGCGGTGTCCCGAACCCCCAGTGCACCCCGGCTCACGTCAGTGAAGTGCGGCTCCTTGCTGGGGTTTTTCTGTAGGAAGCCCTCGCCCTCAACACAGCTCCGTCTGGGGCCCTCGACCCTGCAGGCACAGGCCAGAGCAGGCAGCTCACCTCCAGCCCTTGCTCGGCACCCTGCCCTGCCCTGAGCCGTGGCTGGGCCTCTCCTCTGCTCACCTCGGGTTGCCGGCCGTGGGGGTGGTGACGGGGAGCAGCCCCTCCGAGTGTTTGCCGTTGGGCACCAGCTCCACCATTTCTGTCTGCAGAGGTGCCTCCATGGTCAGGGGCCACCAGCAGGATCACTAGCTCTCACACCAACAGAGAAGTCTGCAGAGCAATGGGTCCCTCTGGTTATCCCCGCTCCCGGGACCCATGGCCCAGCCTCCCACCGGAAGTCGATAGCCGTATCACACCTCCCAGAAGGTCACTCAGGACTTACGTGCATATGCGGCTGGGCCTGCTGCCTCCCTGGGCCCTGCTTTTGGGGGAGTAGAGCTCAGATACCTGAGTTCTCCGGGACATCCTGAGGGGACACCTTGGCCAGTACATAGCGCTCCCTGCCTCCCCCCGCCAAAACCCACATATCAGCCCAGGCAAGCCCGTGGGGGCCTCAGTTTCTCCATCTGTGCAGTGAGGATCAGTTGGATGACCTGAGTTCAGAGTCCAGTGGTGCCTGGAGCCTAGGATGCTGAGTCCCAGGCATCCAGACTCCACTCTGGGGGTGGGCCCCGGACCGACCCCCCTCCCTGACATTAATACCGGGAGACGGTTTCCTGTGCCGGCCCTGTGTGCCAGGGGCCTCCTAGCCAACCTAGAATGGCACTGCCCGACGGCTGGAGGCCTCGGGAGAGGGTGAGGGCTGTGGGCCCTGTTCCCAGCCGCCCGGCGGGCACTGCTGGCAGCCAGAACAAAGGGCCTTCTGTGGTCTGAGAGCTGGCGCTGGGAACGGCAGGCGCAAAGGCTACCCCCCCGCCCCCCGGAGCCAGGAGGCCTGAGGCGGTGCTGGGTGGCTGGACACCTGGCCCCTGCCTGCCTGGCCGCGAAGGGCCCTCAGGGGGCCTTCCAGGAAATGAGTGTCCCAGGGCCGAGCTCTCTGGGCCACACAGGCGTCACCCTCCACACAGCCCTGGCCTTAGGGCCACGTTCTCCTTCAAGCCTCTCCTCCTAGGGAATACCCCCACCCCTTAGGTGGCCACCCTCCAGGAGTGGACCCTTTGAGCAGATTCTCCATTTCCCAGAACCCCAGGCCAGGAACTCAGGGCCTGAGGCAGCTGTAGAGGGGCCTGGGCCACTGGATCCATCCTCCCTTCCCTGCCCTCAAGGCATGGCCCTGGTGGGCCTCTCAGGAGCCAGTTCCCCTCCTTGCCCCCCACCACCCCTGCCCCCTGCCACACACCTCACTGGCCCCTCTCCCATCACTGGGGCTGGGAGCCACCTACCCCATGCCCAGAAGGTACCTACCTGGGCACAGTGCCCCAGGATCCATAAGGACGTCCTGAAGGCTACATAGGCCAGTAGGAGAGCTAAGACCCGAGTGGAGACCAAGGAGGGGGCAGCACTGTCACGTAGGTCCCCCAGAGCCTAGTCTTTTTTTTTAAGGCTTTATTTTTAAGTAATCGCTACACCTGATGTGGGGCTCAAACTCACAACCCCAAGATCAAGAGTTGCATGCTCTACTCACTAAGCCAGCAAGGCGCCCCTACCAGAGTCTCGTCTTGATGCCATAGCATCTCTGCTTGGGAACTCTGAATCCTGCCCTGAATACCCCATCCCCCTCTGGATCCTGATGGTCTCGGTCTACTTAGAACCCAGAGCACCAGGGGTCTTAGCACTCGAGGTTATGCGTGGGGACAGGAAGCTGGGTTCAGGCCTCAGGCCCCAGTGTCCTGGAGGCAGCCCACCATTGCCCCAGCCAGCCCTAGGCCAGAGTTCAGATCCTAGGGACCCACACTTGGCACCCTTGGACTCCCTCAACCTGCCTCTCCTTTTTCTGATGCTGGCATCTGAACCCATCTCACCTCCAGCCCTGCCCCTCAGGACTATGACAATGTGACCATCTCCTCTCGTGCTCTCCTCCCCTGGATGAGAGCCCCTGATGTCAGCCTGTCTTCATGCCCCTGCCCTAAGCCTCACCATCAGCACCTCTCCAAGGGTCCCAGTTGGGTGTGGAGATGCCAGCATCTTATCTCCAGAGTCACTCCCTGGTGCCCCCTGGCTCTCCGCTAGGGTTGCCCTTTTCGGACCTCCCACCCTAGGCAGGCTGGGACAGGCCCTCAGAGTGTGCTGAGTTGGCAGCTTGGACAAAGCACCCTTCTCTGCCTTAATATCCTTCCCTAGCAGCCAGGCACTACCTCCAGGGAGACCACAGCCCATGGCATGGTCATGGCCAAAGGGCCTGAGTTCCTGGCTCCAGGTTCCCCATCCCCCCAGCAGGACTTAGGCCTAGACCTTCACGTCCTGTCTATTACTCACAGTCAGGTACTGCTGGGTTTTGGCCTGGCTTGAGATCCCAGAGAGGACATGGAATATCCTTCCTTAAGTGGCTTCCAGTCTGGAAGGGACAAAATCCCCAAACATATACCCATGCACAGCAGCTGAATGTGAGCCACATAGTGCTGGGACTCAAAAAAGGGGAGACAGAGGCATCAAGGAAGGCTTCCTAGAGGAGGAGGTGATGGAGCCAGTTCTGAAATCTCAGGAGGAGTCCCAAAAGTGTGGAATGGGAAAGAGTCCCCGAAGCAGAGGGCACAGCCTGGGCAAAGGCTCTAAGGTGTGGTATGGGGCAGATTGAAGAAGGTTCCACGGCTACAGACAAACCCAACGAAACCTTGAAGGCCAGGTCAACAGGTCTGTACTTCAGCGTAGGGCAGGACTAAGGGCTGAGAAGCCAGGGTGGAGATGAGCGGCCCCCAGCCATTCCCTGAGGCTGGCAGCCCATTTCTGACATCTGCCGTCCCTCAGGCCTATCGCCTAGCAGGCTCCTTTGTATCAAGGAGTCAGGGTAGACTCAGGGATAGCCTCTGCCTAACACAAGCTGCCAGCCGATTCTGACCCACTGTTGGGAAAGCCCAGAGTGGACATTCTGAGTCTGAGTCCTGGCCTGGCCCTGCCTCACTGTGTGACCACGGGCAGAGCATTCCTGACTCAGGACCTCAGTGTCCTCCTGCCCTCCAGGGGTCCCATGAGGTTTGGCAAAGCTGGGGACAGAGTGAGAAGCCTCCCCAAGGCCTTTGTCCCAGACCATGCCATGGGCTCCCAGAGAGGGGTCAGGCTCCAGGTTGGAAAAATCACTGCAACCTTGGGCAGATCATCAGAATGGCATCTGTCATGGGTGCAGCGTGGACTTGGGCAGGAAATCGATGGCCTAGGCCACTGCTCTGGGGCCTGTTGGCTCTGCTGGGAGATAAGGGCCAGGAGAGGCCAGGAACCACAAGGATGGTGCGGCAGGTAACGCTCGCCCACGCGGCCACCACAGAGTGAGAATTTGTCAGGCACACCTCGCCAGGTGTTAAGTTTGGCTAATTAAAGATTTTGAGGCCCAGGAATCCAGGCCACTGCTTGCATCAGCTGCTGTGGGACACATACTCTCTGTCCCACAACCGAGGTCCTTGGAGCCACCAGGGACTTGAGCACTGCTTTCTTCCCCCAATGCTCAGGGACATCAGTAGGTCTGCAGTAGTGGGCTAGCTAGCTACAGGGAGGCATCCACACTGTCCTTCCCTCAGTCCTGCAGCCACATAAGCTTAGTGGGGGCACAGACCCCATAGAATTTGATGCTGCAGCCCCCAGGTTTCTGGTGCTTGGGCAATCCTAACCTCAGCCCAGATGTCAGGGGACAGGCAGGTGGCCTGGCCTGCAGGTCCATTGCGGTCATTCCTGGAGGCTCAGGGATGAGGGCTGCCCCCAGTTCCAGCTCAGCCATCCTTATTCCCCTCCTCGGCAGAGACAAGGGGCCCCTCCTATCCCGGCACCCCTCTGCCCATCTGCTTCTCCAGGCTTCAGAGGGAGAACACCATCCTAGGACAAGCTATCAGTCAACAAGGAAACTGGATTGAATGGACCTGTCTGAATTATATGTTCTCAAAGCACGGCCCCAGGGATTGGTGGGGAGATGATTGCTGAAGTCAGGGGACTAGAGGTAGGGCATGCGGGAGGGTGTTCTGAACATGGGAGAGTGCTATAGCCTTATACCCCCCTAGCCCCTCTTCCAGGCCCACGACTCCAGATTTTGACCTCAGTAGACCCAGGCCCCCATCCACTACTCCTTCATTGTCCACAATAGTGGGTAAGTAGCCAGTGCCTGGTCAACACCGGGCTGGTACTGAGGCGGGTGGTGTGCAAGAGGGGGCACATCCAGAGAAAGGAAGGTGGCCCGGAGCACTGATGTGTCAGCAGCGCCAATCCCTCCTAGTCTAGCTCCCTGGCCCTGGTGTCTGGGGACTGTGCTTCTGTGTTCTGGGCATCCGGAAGTGTCTAGGAGGATCTGAGGGGCCCAGCTGGGGCCGGAAGTTGGACTTTCCTGTGACAGGGTATATTTTCTAGACCCCCAACAGATGCGTAGAGTTGGGCCTAACCTGAGACACCTAGGCCTCCCCTCCCACCCAGCCCAGGACCCTCCTTGCTCCCCCAAGGGAAGCTGTAGCTGGAACCTCTTGGCTCAAGACTGGGCCAGAGCCAGAAACAGCCCCCTCCCCCCACTGCCAGCCTGCTGAGAGGGACGTGCAGCCCGAGGCCCAGCTGAGGCAAAGGACAGGACATCACGTGCTTGTGGCCCCCTAGGGGCAGGGGAGACCCCGAGCCAGCCAGCCCATCCTCCATCCTCCTCCCTCCTGACCCGGAATCCCCTGGAGGCGGCCAAATATTTGGACAGCCGGACTTCTGGCCCCAAGGAAAGCTGGAGCAGGGGCCTGGGGCAGCTCAGGACTCATTGGAGACCCTGGTGTGGGCGGCTAGAGGCAAGGTCGGCCTGGAGGAAAGGCACCATCCAATGTCAGGCAGAAGCAGAGAGGCAGAGGGAGGGAAGAGAGAGACAGGGAAAGAGGAAGGACAGAAAGCACATACGTGTGGTACATGTGTCCACTCATACTGATCCAGACAGACAGACAGACAGACAGGCACAGGGAGAAAGGGAAATGCAGATGGATATAGAGGTACACAAACAGAAAAATGCACACACAGAGAGAGGTGGACAGACATTCAGACAGGGAGACAGAGAGAGAGAGAGACAACCAGGGAGGTGAGATGGCCAACCAGCCAGAGATAGCCAAGTGGAGAGAGACAGAGAAACAGGGAGACAGCCAGTGAAAGACAGAGAGAACCCCAGAAGGAATGAGAAGGGGAGAGAGAGCCAGAGGCCCAGGTGAGTGGGCAGCAGGCCCAGCGAGCACCACAGGGATGGCCAGGCGGAACCCTGCAAGACCCTGCAAGAAGGCTGCCACAGCATTTGCAGGTTCCTACAAGGGCAGGTTGGACCCCTACTAGCTGGGTGCAGGGACATCCAGACGGTGGGACTGAGCAGGTGCATGGTCAGCCCCAGCTGGAAAGACCGCTCCCCAGTCCAGCGCTTGTCTACCCGCACAATGGAAAAGATACACAGAAGTGATGGTCAATTGAAGTGACCCCCATTCTCAGCAGCCACGCACGTGTGCAGACGTGCCGGCCGAGAGGCTGTGTACAGGACGTGGCCCGCAGAGCGGAAATTCAAAACCAAGCCACCCCAGGCCGCTGACCGGAAAGCCCCTCCTGCCCCAGCAGCTGGTCCTTCCCTTTGGCCCCCAGAAGCCCCGCCTGGTCCTCTAGAGTGCCCCCCCCCCACATCTGTCTTCCTATCCAGAGTCAAAGGCCAGTCGTCCACCCACCAGACTGAAGGTGCGCAGGGCACACGGTAGGTGCTCAGTATGCGTTGCTAAGTGAATAGAATGGGTTCAAGGCCCTTGGCAAGCCCCCAGCCCATCTCAGCCCAGCTCTAAGTGGCCCCTGGCCCCTGGCCACGTCTGCACTGGACCGTGTGCCTGCAGGGCTCCTATCTTACCACAGCATAGGCTGCACATCCCACCGCAGCTTTCTGCGCACACAGATACCAAAACCGTACCTCCCTTGCAGTCAACCACTCCCCTAAAACATGCTTTCCCCTCTGAATGAGTGCCTGTTTCCACACCCAGCCTGGACTTTCAGGCTGCACTCAGTTCAGCTCAAAAACCTTCCCTGGCCCTACCCAGAGACCTCGAACCACCCAGGCTGTCTTGTTGTGCCTCCGTTTCTCGATTTGCCCAAGGCTCCAAGGCCACTTGCTAGGGCAGCAGGCAGCAGGACAGGAGCAATCTGTTATGGTCTGGCCACCAGGAGCCCTGGACTGGGGGGGAGTGTGTGTGGAGGGGGGCGTAGTGATGTGGGCCAAAAGAACCAGTACTGAAGAAAGAATGGTTTGAGAAGCCAGTGAAGACATGGGCTCGAGCCCAGGCAGAGTGGAGTTTTGAGACATACACCCACACCCTCCCCAGAGAACTGGCCCCCTGTCTCCAACCCCCCAGGGGGTCAGAGATTCTCGTTTCTGATTCCAGTCACTCCAGCCCTCTTGGAGATGTGCCAGGCCTGGCCTCACCCACCCCTGATTCCTCCCACCTCTGGTGCTTCCTGCAGGAAGACTTCCAAGGTTGTACAGAACCTACCCCTCTCAAAATGGAACTGTCCCCAGATCTCTCCGGCTTTCTATGCTCCAGACTGAGAAGCTCTGGGGCATTTTCTTCCTCTCTAGAAGGAACTGAGCTCCCATGCCACACTGCGTACTGAAGAGGGAGGGGTGGAAGGTCCAAAGGCTTCTCCCAGGGACAGAACAGTGGCCCAAGGCCGTCATGGAAGGAAAGACAGGACCGGCGGGCTGAAGGAAGGGTGGGCCTGGGTCGAGGTGTCCCCAGGGTGCAAGGTACAAGGACCTTTGACTTAGTCCTCTCAGACTTGTCCTAGAGCCTGTACCTGAGCTCAGGGCTCAGGTCACTGTGGGGGAGAGGGCGGATTCCCAACAGGCCCCGCCCCTGGCCTCCCCCTCCCCGGGTGTAAACAAACGCACGCATTCGCTGTGGCCAATCGAAGGGGCCAATGGAGCGGGGGCGGGCTCCTGCAAACCCAGTCCTGGTCCTTTCCCTCTGCCCTACGCTCGGCGCCCGCTCTCACACCCTCACCGCGCAATGAGGCGGCAAGGAGCGCGCACAGAGCCCCGCCCTCGGGCCAGAGAGCCACACGCGCCCTGTACCCGCCGTGCCCGCTGGCCCGGCTGCAAATGGCACGGGTTCCGGGACCAACATGTGCCCCGCGGCCCCTCAGGCAGCCTGGCCCGATCTGCCCTCAAGCCCCTGCCCAACGCGGCCGGGATAAATATACCCGGACTCCCGGCGTGCCAGCCGGGCAGATTTGCCTGTCAGGCGCCCGTCGGGGCAGCGCTCCAGGGCCCGTTCCCGGCCCCTCTTGGGCCCCCCTCCGGGACGCTCTCCAGCTAGTCCCCGCGGGTTCTGCCTCGGGAAGCCCCTCGCGCACCGCCCCGAGCCCCGACAAGGCTTCCTGCGGCCCCAGTCCCGAGTGCTGACCTCCTGCTGTCCCGCCCGGCCCTGCCGACAGGCCCCGAGGCGACGAGGTGCCTCTCCCGGGATACCAGCTCCATCTCGGAGCTGAGTCCTGCCTGGCGGGTCCCCGGACCTGAGCCCAGATCGCGCGGGGTTCTGGCTCGCTGGAGGCTGGGGGGAGGCCCCTGCCCGGGGCAGGGCGGGCGAGGGGAGCTGCCCGGAGCCCGGCTACGGACGGGAGGGTGCACAGTAGGGCTCTGCCCGCCCGGTGCCCTGGGCTGGGGTCGGCGCCCCCAGCGGTACCTGGCCCGGCGGGTGGGGGACGCACGGAGCTCCGCTCTGGCTGGCGCTGTCCGCTCTGCTCCCGGCTAAGCGCAGCGGCGGGGGATGAAGGGCGCCCGGCCCCGCCCCTGGCCCGCCCCCGGCCCGCCAATCCCAGGCGGCGGGCGGGAGGAGGGGCTGGTCTGGGGAGAGGGGGGGCCCTCCCCCGGCCCGCCTGCTGCAAAGGGGCAGCCCAAGCGCTAAAGAGCCCCTAGGTGGGGGAGCAGCTGCTCCAGGAGGGGCTCAGTTGAGTCCTGGGGGAGGAACGCCTCAGTCCAGAGCAGATTCTCTCCGAGCGCCCTCTTAGCCCCTGAAATGCTCTGCGCTCACCTCCCTGAAGCCAGAAGAGAACAGAGCAATGCTTAGCTTCGGTGAAGGGTGCTCTCAGTGGGGAACTTTCAGATATCAGTCAGACACAAAATGTCTTTTCTGCCTGCTTCACCCTTCCCAAGCAGAGGTGGGATAGCGGTGAGGACGGGGGGTGGGGGGAGAGGTGGGGAGGGGAAGCGGGGAGGCTATCTGCATCAATTCTTCTCTCTTCACCCCAGGTATTCAGAAGAGATTGAGGCTGGGACAGACAGGGGTAGGCCCAGTGAGACAAGAGGCGAGCATGGCTGGGCTTGTGCTGAGCCTCGCTGGGCTCTCCCTGGCCATGCCCCCCATTTCCTTATTTCTAAGGAGTAAGAGACAGCTGTGTCTGCCCATGGGAAGTGGGGATGGGGACTTAGTGCCCTGGGGGGGGGAGGGGTTTTAGGCTGTCCTGTTCTTGACTGGGGGGGCTCCTATCCCACCCCTGCCTGCCTCCCACCCAAGGCCTTGGTGCTCAGAGGTGGGTGGTCGGTGTTAAGGCCCCCCAGGCCTAGCCAGCACGGAGCTGGGAGAGGCCTTGACCTTGGGGGTGAGCTGGGGGGTTCCCAGAACAGCTGTGTCCCTTGCTTCTCAGCCACTGGCTCTGATCCGATTAATTCCATGGCCTCTGCTGTTCCTAGCCAAGCTGGATGTCTCTGTGTCATGTCTGCCCCCCTCCTGGAACCGGGGGAATGCCCTCAGAGGACAGGTCTAACCTCTCCCCTGCCCTGGGCTGGGAGTCAGGACTCCTGGATTCTCTTCCTATTGACTCACCAGAGCCAAGCCCTAGCCTATCTCAGTTTCCCCTTGTGTCACAGGGAAATAGCTCTGTCCTCTCTCCTGGCCTGAGGGGAGTGGATGAAGGGGAAGATGTGAGCTGAGGGAGGAGACTTAGCTTTGGCTGGGAGTGCCAGGGAGCTGGGAGGACTAAAGAGAAAGGCACTGGGATGGTGGCAATCCCTCAAACCACCCAAGCTCCTGCCCTGCTAATGGCTGAAAAATAGGAAGGGACTGGCTTTCCCTCCTGATCTGAGGCTAGCGTAATCCCCAGATCAGAGCTTACCTTGGTCATGAGGGACCCTAAGTCTCTCACCCTCCAAAGGGGCTTGAAGACTGCCCACTGGGTAGTTCAGTAGGAGAGGTACTGACCAGGGTCCACCCCCCCCCCCACCTCCCAGCTATATATATCCTGGATGCTCACTGAAGCCATTTGCAAAGGGCTGAGGGCTCCCACTGGCAGTTCCTAAGGGGCCAGGCCTGGCATCAAGGATACCCAGCATGTGGGTATTGGGGTCCTCAATCCTGACTGGAGGGAGCTGGGCTGGGCTGCTGTGGGTGGCCTGAGGCAGCATGATGTGGGGTCCCTGGGCCAGACCAGTTGTGGCCAGGAGGGGGAGGGGCTGCCTGTTTGTTGATGGTAGGTCTGGGCCCCAGCCAGGGCAAACACAGCCCGGAGGCCTTTCCCTGCCACCTGCCGAATCTCCCAGCCCAGCCTGTGGTGGCAGGATAGGGGGCAGTTGGGATGGGACTCAGAGCTGCCGGGCGCCTTCTCCCGGGGACCGGAGGGAATGTCCATCCGTGTAACACAGTGGTGGGGGCAGCCACCTGGTGTGGAGGGGAGGGGGCTTTATCTCAGCCCTCAGCCCTCAGCCCAGCCCCCACCACTACTCCCCCATCTCCAGAAACTGAGACACAGGTCCAAGAGGCTGCCAGACACGTGAAACAGAACTTAGGGTCCCGGCATCGCTCAGACTCTCCTTCCGGGGTCCTGGCAGCCCTTTGCTCTCCTCCTCCCTCTTCAATCATGTCCTCTCAGCCTCCAGCTATGTGGCCCCCTCTCACCATGTCACCACCTCCCCTGGCATGTCATCCACACGGTGCCCCAACACCCTTCTCTGACAGTGAGACCCCATCTTCACCTCCAGCCCAGTCCGTCCCCAGAGCCCAGCATCTGCACCCACTGACACCTCAGATACTCTGTGGGGCCCTGCCTCACCCTCAGCCAGCCTCCCTGACATCCTCTCAACCTGCTCCTTGTCCCAGTTGGCCTCCCCCCACCCTAACTGGCTGGCCGCACATGTTCCCGTTGTTCTCAGAACACACCAGCCCCTTCCCCTCCCTGGCCTTCTCCTCCCACCTCCTCAGCAGGCTCCTACTTGTCCCTCAACACCCCCATAGAAGATGACCTCTGAATACCCTGGCCAGCTCTTCCGGTACTTCATGTGGCCACTCTTGCCATCCCACCACACAGCCTCAGTGTCTCCAGGTGCTCCCTCCGGGTCGTCTAGACGGGAAAGCAACCTGTGGGCTTGGCTCTGCTGAGGGGAAGAAAGGCGCGTGCCAGGTTGGGGAAGAGAAAGGGCATTTGGATAGAGGAGACAGGAAAGCGTATGAGTGTGGGATTAGCACCCGTAGGGGGAAGGCTGTGTGTGTGTGTGGGGGGGGCAGGACACTTGGCCTGGAGTCATGTGGGGGGTTTTAAGGCCTCATAGGAGAGGAGGGTTCTCACCCCCACGCCCCAGCGTTGAGGACCCACACCCATAGCTCCCGACTGTGCTCTGCCCAGTTTGGTGCCTGGGAGGCTCCTCTTCAGGGACAAGCAGGGCTTTAGATGGTATAATACAGGGTGTGAAACCCTGTGAGGGACCCATAGGCAGACAGTCCTGTCTAGGCCTCCCCCTGCCTGGGTCCTCAGAGCTGATGACCTCTTGGCTGAGGCCTGCTCCCACAGTTCTGGCATGCCCTCCCTCTCTCCCCTGAGATCTGGCCCCCGGCTTCTCTGGCCACTGAAGCGGCTTAATGAGCCCAGGTCACATGGGCTGTGCTCCTGCCTGTGGGGAGGGCCCAAGCCCCTAGTGGCCACCCGACCGGGCCCTGACGTCAGCAGCATTAACCGTCCACCAGGCTTGTCTAATCTCTGGTCAGTGGCTGGGCCAGGTTAGTCCCGCCAGAGCCAGAGCTGAAGGCCGTGAGGGCCCTCAGGGGCACCTTGAGGTTGCAGGTCAGGCAGGGATGGTGGTGATTGGAGGTGCCCACAGTAAATGACCCCTACCTACAAGACTAGGGTGTGGCCACTGTGCTGACTCTGGGCCGGTTCTGATCCTCTGCCCTCAACTGTGAATCAGGCATTGAGCACCCATTGATCCTGCTCCTTAGGGTGTAATTACACTGGTGCGGTGAGTAGGGCCAAGGAGGCTCTGAGCTGGGAGACTCAGCACCACCCCCCACCCCGTCCCAACCCCATCATACTTGTGGCCATAGGCAGGGCAACTTGGGGCCAGGCCCTGGCCCCAGCCCATGGGATCCAGGAATACCAGTCTGGAATCCCTGACCCTGGGGTCAGAATTGTGTGTGGAGGGGACTCCCTGGAGGGTGGGGTCTGGCCCCTGCCTGGTGTTTGGGCTTCTCTCTGCCCCTGGCCCAGGAAGGCTGGGGAGCTCATTACTTTTCTTCCAAGACAAGGTGACTATGTAGAAGACCCCATTAGCACACCTCTCCTTACAGCTTCCTCCCTTCCAAGCCTACCACTTCCAGCTCCTCAAAGCCTCTTGTCTTCTGCCTTGCCTCGCCCTACTAAATCCTGAGGTTACTCCCCTCAATCCAATAAACTGCTCAATCAGAGGGTCCTTAGTGGAGATGAGCAGCCTGGCTCAGCCAGGCCCAAGATCACCCAGTGAGGATCCTGAACCACTGACCCAAGCCCCATCTTCCCCTCAGGAACTCTGAGTAGCACCAGTGTGGCTGAGTTCCCTTAACCCATCCAGGGTCCCTCTACCACCACCCTGTGCTCAGGCGTGGGGACCATCATTCCCCCGTCTTCAGCTCACTTCAGGCTCACAGCTCTGCCCTCTACTTGGACACTGAAGATGCTGCCCACATGTTGCCTTCTGCCCAGTCCCGGGTATCTGTCTGCCTCCTGGGCATCTCCCCCAGGTGGCCACTGGTCTGGAAAGCTTAGTCCACTCAACACTCCTGCAGTCCCAGCTTGGTGGGGGCATCATATGCACTTGTACAGATCCAGACCCTTGTGGCTGAGCCCCATCTGCAGATCCTGGCCCCATGGGGTAATGGGGACATAAGTCTCTTCTCATGGATTCCCCAGCCCTGCTGTTCTCTTCCCCCATACCCTCTCACACTGGCCCCCAGTAAAAAATGTGTGCCCCTACATACCTGTTTTCATGAAAAATTTTAATGATTATTTTTTTCCAGAAACAGAGTTGTAAAATATTATTGATGATTTTATTTTCATTAAAGCTAGGAAAATAAGATTATAAATTGTTTCACATATAGATAAAATAGCTAAGCTTAAAATAATGTTGAGTTTTAATATACCCACTTCCAAATTTTTTTCAACTAATTTAATATTCTATAAAAAATTTACCATTAAAAATACATAAAAGCATATATAGGAGTGGACAGTTTCCTTTTGCTTCAAGCTCCAATATGTAGCTCAGCAGAGTTCTCTTGGATCTTGTCTTTATTTAAAATTTTGATATTTTGCTCATCATGGGTTTTTTGCAGTGATTTTCTTTCTCTTTCTTTCTTTCTTCCTTCCTTCCTTCCTTCCTTCCTTCCTTCCTTTCTTTCTTTCTTCCTTCCTTCTTTCCTTTCTTTTTCTGAGTAGGTTCCACACCTAATATGGGGCTTGAACTCACAACCCTGAGATCAAGAGTCACATGTTCTACCGACTGAACCAGCCAGATGCCCCTGCAGTAATTTTGAACTTAAAAAGTATTGCATTGATATCTTCTTTATCTTGATTACTGAACTTTTTGGCACCACCTTAAATTTTGCACCCCAGGTGAGTACCTCTTCTGCTTCACCCTGATCCCAGCCCTGCTATTAGGCCCTAGCTTGAAGGGCTTCCGAGACCCATCATCTTCTGGAGGAAGCCCTGGCCCTCAGGCTGGCACTTGGCACCTGCCCATTGTCTCCCCACCCCATGTCCCCTTTGCCTGTTCTTGCCCTATTGAACTATTATGGCCCACAAGCCCGTGTTTCTGGCCCCTCCTCTCCCTGATAGAATAAGCTTCTACCTCAGAACTCCCTCTTGATCCAAGATTATCCCTGTGAACGTTTCCCACGGCTCCTTTCCCCTTAAAGCCCTCTCGAGAGGCACAGGTTGGTCCCATGCCCCCAGGAGTGCTCCTGCCATGACAGGCCAGGTGCTTCTCCCTGGAAGAGCCCATTTTCCCATTTATGTCCAGCCCAGCACTGGGCATTTAATAAATGCCCATGACTCGTGATAATGAACGCCTTTCCCTTCCCCACAAGAAAGGACAGCTGGGGCCTGATGCAAAGGTTTATTGCTGAGTCTGTGCTTCTACCTGAGGGGAGTGCAGCCTGTCATCTGGCCTTGAGAGATGGAAGCCCCTGTCCTCGACTTAGCACAGGTCTTGGCTCACAGGCATCAGCAAGGACTCAGGCCTTGATGAGGAACTGGGAGCAGGGATATAGGGACAAGGGCCTCTGTCCCTGACAAAATTCAGACATGGCCCTCAGTTTTTCCTGCCAGGGAATGGGCTCTGAATGGAAAGGGTTCGAGAAGTTGCTGGCAGGGACAGGAGGGTTACCTGGGTTTGCTTGTGACCCCACCTGAGGTAGACCACTCTGGGCCCAACCTGGGCCTCAGTCATTTCCCAAATCCTCTGCCTGGGGCTGATCGATGGAGCTGGACTCTGCCCCCTCAGCCGCCCCTCAGGACAGTTAGACCATTGGCCACAGTTGTTGTCAACAGTACCCTCCCTCAACAGACCATCCCCTTGGCCGGCTGGCCTGGAGCACTGTGGGTGCGTGGGGGTGAGGTAGGACATGGATCTGGTGTCCACGGATGGAGGGGGCAGAGCCTGTGGGGTAAGGGGACAGGGGGTTACTCTGAGCCTGCTATGTGGGGAAGGGTCCAGCTTGAATCTCTTCCTGACACCCAGGGGCTCCCCGGTGTGCCCCCCACTCACTAATTCATCCATGCAGGAGCCAAACAGGCCAGAGTGGCTTGGACTTTGGACCCCTGAAGCTACTGAGACGGACAGTCACTGGCCACTGGGTAGACAGGTGTCAGACTTGTCACATGGAGGTGGTAAGGCTGGAATGGGCTGACGGTAAGCCTTGGAGGAGGGATCTCTGCCTGCTCCCCCGCTCTTCATGAAACTGGGAGGGAGGGCTATTTGCTGAGCCCAGACCCACCAGGTGAGTCATGGGCCCCCTGGGGAGAGAGACCTGCAGGAGATTGGTCAGTTGGGCACTGCTGAGTCACTGTGAGCTCTAGCTATCCCAAGTCCTGCCTGTTCCTAGCTGGGGCTGGCTGGGGTGGGTCCTGGAGGCCAGCGCAGCCAGGCCGTGAAGGGCAGCAGTGGGGTTGGGGGCACTGGGCTCTGGGAGACACGGGGGAGGGTCGGGGCCTCAAGGCTAGTGGGGCTTGGAGTTTTGGGTGTGTGGCTGGTGGGGCCACAGGCTGGGGTCCAGGAGTTCTGGGGGGCTGATAGATTCCTGTGGGCTAGGGCTACAGGGCGGCTAGAGCTACAGGGTGTCAGGGACACGCATGAGTTCAGGCACCTGTGAACAGAAAAAAGGAAGCGAGTCAACATCCCTGAGCTCCAAAATAATTGGCTTTCGGCTGAGAAGCACTGTGGAGGTGGGCTTGTAGACAGTGACACCAGAGGGATCAGGGCGGGGTCAGAAGAGACTAGGTGGGGGGGACCTGTGCACCGGGAGTGCAGGGTGGTGGTGGGCAGTGGGATGGAACCTGAGGGGCCAGGGTGGGGCCTGGGAATTGGGGGCCAGCACCAGGTCATGGAATGGGTCTGGAGAGCTGGGGCAGCCCCTGATATCCTGCAGTGGGGTCTGCTGCAGTGAGGTGGGGTGGAGAGCTGGGGATGGAGAGTGAGGTATGAGACCAAGGGGCAAGACAGGAGAGCATCCCAGCCCTCGAGGAGCCTACCTCAAAAGAGTCCGCAGTCTTTGAGGTTCTCCTTGATGATGATGTCTGTTACCGCGTCGAAGACAAATTTGACGTTCTGCGTGTCCGTAGCACAAGTCATATGGGAATAGATCTCCTTCACGTCACGTCGCATGTTAAGCTCGAGGAACTGCACCTTGATGTAGTTGCCCGCGTCCTCGTATGTGTTGGGCCCTGGCAGGGAAAGGGGGTGCTCTTACTGGGTGTCCCCACTCCTTCCCGCGGCGGGGGAAGCGCAGGCCCAGATCACGGGGTTGGAGCGCCGCCTGGCGGCCAGGCTGCGGGGGGGGGGCGGTTCTCACCGTCGTAATCCGGGAAGCAGATGCTGAGATGCGCCTTTTTGATCTTCTCGGTGAAAACGTCCTTCTTGTTGAGGAAGAGCACGATGGACGTGGTGGCGAAGTAGCGGTGGTTGCAGATGCTGTTGAACAGGTGCAGGCTCTCGTGCATGCGGTTCTGAGGAGGACAGAAGCTGTCGGGCACCGGGTGGGGGGCACGGGCAGCCGTCCCTGCGCGGTCGCGGCCCACAGGCTCCGGGGCACCCGGGGCCATCGCGCTCGGACAGCTCCGGGTCAGCTTCCCCCACTGCCCCCCTCAGCGTGGCTGCTGGCTGTCTTGTGTCCTCATTCGGACTGTTCCGGAACGAATGTCTGCTCTCAGACGCTCCCCGCTCCCACAGTACTGTCTCCGGCTTTCCCCTGAAACACTGCAGGCCCTGCTTGGCACCCACCACTTCGTCGTCCTCCACCAGCACCATGTCATAGGCGCTCAGCGCGGCGATGAAGATGATGCAGGTCACACCCTCGAAGCAATGGATCCACTTCTTGCGCTCTGAGCGCTGCCCGCCCACATCGAACATCCTGTGGAGCAGTTGGGGCCTGAACCCGCTTGGAGCCCGCTGGACGCGCGCACAGGCATCCCCTTGCCTCCTAATGCTGGGGGGCACTCAGATGGGACTGGCATGTGGAGGGGCCGGAACTTTCTGCGGGCGGGGTATCAGAGGAGGGGCAGGGTCTCCTTGGGATGGGGCCTCCGGGACGCGACGGGGCCTCGGGGCGCTGCACTCGCAGCCAGACCCCCAGAGCGAGGGCAAGGGCGAGGGCGAGGGGCCGTACCGGAAGTGGAGGTCCTTGAAGGAGAACTGCGTCTCAATGATGCCTGTGGTCTTGACACGCGAGCGCAGCACGTCCTGCTCAGTGGGCACGTAGCCCGGGGTGACCAGGCGCTCCAGGTCCGAGAGGTAGCTGCGGGAGACCGCGGGGTGTGGGTGGGTGCGGTGGAGGGGCGTGGTGGGACCCCGCCCGCACCCCCGCGCCCCGCCTGCTCTCTCACTAGCCCGCGGAGTCGTTGAGCTGGTACTCAGAGGCACGATCGAAACAGGCCTGGATACCCGAATCCTTCCACAGCCGCTGGATGATGTCCGACATCTCCTTGGGCATGGTGCCCTCTTCGATGGTGTCCGCCATGTGCATCAGCTTCCGGGCGTCGTCCTGAGGGCAAGGGTGGGAGTTGTTGATGGTGACCGTGGACTTGAGAGTAGTCTCCCGCCTCGAGTCCCCGGAGGCCCTGCTCAGCCAGTCTCCCTGCACACCTGGCGGGCAGAGTCTCCATACTGGATGTTGAGCGTGGTCATGGCGCGCACGATGGCGAGGATGGACTGCAGCGTGTTGCCGTAGATGATGCTAATGAACTCGAGGCACTCTTCCAACGAGTACCCATCCTGGTGGATAATCCTGCGGCCGGGGTGAGCCGGGTCAGAGCCAAGTGGACTGGTGGGGAAGGACAGGCCCGGTGCGCGCACCCACCCTCAGGGACCTCAGAAAAGGCAAGGGCACTCACTTCATCTGCTTGACAATGGTGCTCTTCCCGGACTCACCCGCACCTGGAAGGGAAGCCCCGCCTCAGAGCTGCGCTGGCCGCACCTCCCCACAACTTCCCCACCCACCCTCCACCCCGCAACCGGACGCGGAAGATGGGGACCCGCAGACTCAAGGCAGGTACAAGTCCAACCCCAGTTCCCCCTGTTTCCCCCACCCTCCACCCCAAAGCAAGGTCCTGACAGCCTGGAGGAAACACGTCTGTAAATGCCAGCAGTGACATAGGGGGCTGACGAGGGCAATCAACGACCTCAACTGTGTTGGGGAGCCTCCAAGACCCCTTGTACTTGCATTCTTGATTATTCTGAAACCAAAATAAGGGAACCTGGAGCGCCACATTGTGGAGGGTCCTGGTACTGCACGCAGAGGATTATTTGACCGGGTCAAGCCTTGCTTTTCAGGGGTTGTAGGGAGGGGAGTGTCTCCAAGAGGCTCAGAGGGAATTAGCGCCTTTGAATGGGGGAGAAGACAGAGCTCACAGCCCCTGTGAGCCTGCTCTCAGCCAGGGCTTTGGGCATAGTTAATGGGATTTCTGGCTTAGCCTCTGTCTTCCTGGGGTGCTCTGGCTTGGTCCCTCTGCCCACATCCAGATGCCTGATTGGATCCTGGAGAGCCTGGGGTGGAACCCGCCTGCCCTCTCAAAGCAGCTCCTTCTTCCACTTGTGGGGAGGTAGTGGCCCAGAGGCACTGTGTCAGCCCCACCTCTCCTCACCACCCATGGGACCATGGACTTGGCTTTATCCGTTCTCCACTGGGCCTTAGCTCTAAAGAGGCACACCTTCTTTAGGTCTGCCAACAACAAAGCTCTGGAATCTAAGGGCTGTTGTCTGTGGATCTGGACGGTCCTTGAAGATGCCCACTCCCAGGAGGACTGTTACTTTCTTCTTCCAAAGAAGCAGCCCTATCGTAGGGCTCCCAAGGAAGCCCCTGGTTTCTGACCCCTGCCCAGCAGGGCTTCTCCAGAGAGGAAGGTGCCCGAGTCAGGGCCCTCCAGAGAGGGGTTTCATGATGGGATACCCAGCCTTGGGGAGTCAGGGTATCGCCTATCAGGGCCAGGGCTCCCACTCAGTTTCCTGACCTGTCTTAGGGTCATTCTGCTTCCCAAGTCACCCCTGTTTCACAGAAGGGCTACCTGCCTGCCCCCACCCCCGGCCTCCGACCTAGTGGCAGTGGCCCCACCTGGACCCACACCCATACCCAGAAGCAGCAGTTTCACAGTTCGAGCATCCTTCTCAGCATCTTCTTTTAGCTTCTTTTCCAGCTCTCTTGAGTGCTTCTCCTCAGCGCTGGCCCCAGCCCCCATGGTCCCAGCAGCAGGTCAACAGGGTGGTTAGTTGGCTCTTCTAGATGGAGGGGATCCCCAGAGCCGGGCTCGGGCCAGCCTCAGGTCTCCCAACACCCTTCTGACTCCGGGACTGGCAATCAACTGGCTTTCCTCAGACCTGTGCAGGCCCGGGTGATGCTGCTTAGTGGGATTTGGGGGCCAGGGGTTCCCAAGAGCCAATGAGAGACAAGGACAGGTGAATCCAGCTCAGCCCCCAGCCCTTCTAATCAGGCTGGCATGGCCCCAATCCCTCAGCTGCTGACTTTGCACCCCTCTCTATGAGCCCCAACCCTCTAGGAGAGACCGTGGAGACAGTCCAGCCCCTGCGCCGGAGCAGGGGGACATGTTCCGTAGGGTCCAGGCTTAGAAGGGGGAGAGTAGGACCCTGAGCCCCTAGGGTGGGGGCAGGGAGGTGGGGCTGGTAGAAGGGAAGAGAGGGAGAGCCAAGCATGGAGCACCTGCCCATGTCCAGCACTGGACTCAGCACTGCTCCTTAATTTGTAAGCTCACATAGGCCCTGGTGGATGGGCACCCACGTCATCAGCCCCATTCTACTGATAAGGAAGGAGAGGCTCAGAGGGTCACACAGAAGGAAGTGGTTGAGAAGGGCTGGGTGACTCTGGACCAGGGTTCTACGCTCTGCAGAGAGTCAAGAAGGAAGGGAGGACATTGCGTTTGCCCCGCACCGAGGGCTGGATCTGACCTGGGCAGGGCCTCTACATACCTCCACGGCTCCAACAGACTTGGGGGGCGCCGTGCACGTCTGCTATGTGTGCCTGGGTGTGTGTGTGTCTATCCTTTACTGGCAACAACCAAAACAATGACATGACACGTTTGTTCACGTGTACGCTTGCATGTACGCCCGTGCCTTGGGAGCACATGGGTGCCCACGCACGCCGGGCACATGTGTGCACGTGTGTTGACACGCTTTTGTTCCTTCTTCCTCACGTGCACACGTGCTGATGTAGCATGACACGTGCACTTGGGTATTTGTGTATGGATGCAAAAACACGCGCACACAAGCCGGTGTGTGCGATAGCGTGCACGAGCCTATGGTTTTCGCCTGGGCGTGTGTGTACACTTACGCACGTGCGTGCCTGCCTGTGTGCACACTTGCGCGTGCCTGTGCTTATGCGCACACGTGTGCCTGAGCACAACAAGGTCTCTGGCATGCAGAGATGGCCAGGCTCTTCCAGAGCATATTTTGCAGGCCTGTCATCAGATGGGGAAAATGAGTCCCAAGGCAGGTGCTCCCAGGGGCACGGAGGAGGGACTCACTTCCTGTCCTTCTCCTGATCTGCTCCCCGTGGGTGTCTGAGACCCGCTTAAGGGCACGTAGGGCATGCCTGTCTCAGCTGAGGGGGTTTGGGGTCTGCGTATAGGTTCAGACGGGACAAGGAGGACTGCTGGGTGGAAGTCGTTCAATTAAGCCTAAAGTTCCCAGGCTCTGGAGATTTCTCACCTCCTATAGGAAGACCCAAACCCTGGGCTCCCAGGGCTCCCTCCAGAGACCCTGAGCCTTCTGGCTGGACTCCTCCCGGAAACCTGGCTGCCTTGTAGTACTCAACTCTGTTGCAGCCCCAAGAGACCACGAGGGGGTGCCAGGGCCTCAGATCCTGAGTAGTGGAGACTGTCCCCAAGCCTGTGGGAAATGGATACTGGCTCCTACCAGAGGCTGGTGGCTTCACATCTACCCTGCTGGGTGGGGGTGGGGTCTGTCCAGAAACAACAGATTATCTGTGCTACTTTCAGCTTCCAGGGTCCATCCATCCTCTACCCCCCACGTTGTAAGTGGGCCCTGGGGGTGGGGGTGGGGGGGGTGGCTCTGCAGCCCCTAGGGATTTGGGGCAGTGCAGGAGCCCAGGTTTGTTACACCAAGGCAAATCTGGTTTCTGCTTATTGGGTTTATTTAGAGTGGGGCCATCCACTGTCTCCCAGTCCCCCTCTGGCTCCCCTTGCCCACCAGATATGGCCATAAGCCCTGTTGGACCCATAGGCCTCCCCAGCTCTTAGCTTCCCCTGCCAGGGCTTGACTCATTAAATTTGGATCAGAGCCCCCAGCCCCACTTTCTCCTGTCCAGCAGCACCCCACCTGCCCTGGCCTTCCCCACCCGTGGACATTCGCTCATGCCAGTCCGTCTGCTGTGATCTGGCTGGAAGGAAGCAGGAAGGTTGGGAATTTTGTCAATTTTCAGGGTGGGGGCAGCCAGACTGTGAGGGCTGTAGCTCTGTCTTGCCGATACTGAGTCCTTAGCGCCTGGCACAGAGCCCACCGCAAAGCCAGGTGAGAAACCAACGATCAAACCTGCGAGTGAGTGAAGGGAAGCTGAGCTTGCAAGAGAGGCGTGGGAATGGTGGTCAGGCCACATAAAGGGGGGCAGGAAGGACAGAATGTGGGCTTAGGCTGAACCCCCATCCTCCCTCCACTGCCAAGGAGAAAAGCCAAAGTCCAGTCCCAGAGCCAGTGTTTATTAGCAAGATGGAACCCAAGGGCAGCTGTGGCCTGGGCAGCCGAGGGCCACCGGGAGCCCCTACCCACCTACCCCAAAAGCCCCCCAGAGCTATTTACACCCATCCTCTGAAGTGGTGGGCAGAAGGGAGCCCTGGGGAGCCCCTGAAGGCCCCAGGCCTCCACCACGGCCCCCTCTCCCCTCAGCCCTGCCTGTACCTGCCCCTCTGCTATTCTCCCAGCCCCCAAGTCACAGTGGCCCAGAAAAAGCGAAGAGGAGGTAGAGCGGCCAGGCAGGGAGGGAGGGAGAGGCTGGAAGTGTGCCCCACCCAGGCAGGGCTCCTTTGCTCCTGTCCCCAATAAATAGAGAATAAATACCCGGGAGGGGGCTGGCCTTGACTGAGTGTCCCCTCCCAGGCAGGGGCCAGCCTCCTGTGGCGGCCCCTTCTTCCCTCCTCCGAGTGCATCTGAGCCCCCCCCCCCCGCTGCCCGTCTCCAAAGTAGTCCTCGCACCCGCGTCGGCGTGTGCCCGCGGCACGCACTGGCAAAGGGGAGCAGTCCGTGCCCTGTCTGGGGGGAGCTTGCTCCCTCCCTCCCTGGGCCCTGCGGATTCCGGCGGCGGCGGTCGAGCAGGTGGACTCCCAGCTGAGCCCAGGGGCTGAGCGGTCCCGGCCTGGCGCCGCCGACTGGCTGGGCCTGGTCAGGTGGGCTGTTTCCGGCCGTCTCCGACCAGCGTGGGTCTGAGTTTCGGACAGAGCCGCTGCGGAGGCAGGCCATATACAGCCCACCAATAAATACTGTCTTTGCAGGGGCGGGGCGTGTATAGAATATAGATATTTTATATATATATATTTATATATATATATATCTTTTGTATTAAAAGGGACAAGGCCGAGGCTGGCCCACCGCAGGGCTCAGGCAGCGGGCCTCATGTGTCCGGCGGGTGGTGGCGGCGGTTCCGGGGCTTTTTCTGGTCCTGGGGTTCAGGAGGCCTGGGCGCCCCCGGGGCCTCCCGGGGGCCTGGGGGCACGTGGCGCCAGTAGCCCTGGCAGTACTGGTGGATGAGGCCCACTTCTGGCTGGGCCAGCAGCTGCGCCAGCTCCTGGTAAGCGGGCGTGGGGGGGCCGGCGCCGCCGGGGGCCGGCGGGGCGCTCACAGCCGGCGAGGGGAAGAGGGCCGCGTGGACGGCGTCCCGACCCAGCACGTGCAGCTGTACCCGCGTGACGACGTGCTTGAAGTTGTTCTCGGTGGCAGTGCAGGAGTAGAGGCCTCGGTCACCGGGCTGCAGGGCGCGGAGCAGCAAGCCCTGCTCGGTGCGCAGGAAGCGGTCCTCCGCGCGAATCTGCGGGGGCAGGGAGCTGGGGCTCAGGGCTCGTGTGACCGCCCTGCCGCCCAGCCAGCCCCCGGAGCAGACCAGCTCTGTGGCCGTTCCGTGGAAGGGGCTCCCATGTGCAATTTCCACAGAGCAAGAAAAACCCACAGTAAATTTCCACATGACACCTGA